CCTGGCCCCCATCCTGTATCAGTGAGATTCTTGGAGATAAAACTCCTAAAAGTGTGGATGCCCACTTGACCATGATCTCCAGGAGTTCCTGATTGTGATCCCCAGGAGTTTCTCCCTTTCACTCTAGTCCACACTCAGCCTCCAGCAATTCCACTATGCCAATTCCAAATGACCACTTAAGCTTTCCTACCAGTTTATGGCTTCAACATCTTATGCTCCAGATAAACGTACCTCAACTCTGGCTCTGGATTTGTTCATCTCTCCATTTGGAGGAGGGGGGAATAGACTTGTAACTTTAGTTCTTTGATGAGCCCAAGTAAAGTTGATTTTCAGCTTTTTTGCTTTAAATAAATCTAATTCCAACATAATTTCCAATCTTTTGAATGCATTTTTCTTTTTTAATCTTTCATGATTTTCTCTTTCTTATTTTGTAAAATTTCACTGTTATATACCTTTGGTGTGGGTTTAAAAAATGCATTATATTGAGTCCTTAATGAACCCTTAAATTTTAGGATTTCTTTTTAGTATGTCTTTGAAAATCTTCTCCTTTTTGTTTCTCATTGTTTAGATATTGATTTTTTGTTTGAGTCTATAACTTATTATCTTGTTTACCCTCTTTTATATTTTTGGCCTGCTTTCTGAGATATTTCTTCAACTTTGTAATTCAACTTTTCTATGAATCCTGTTATATATTTTGTTACCATATTTTCAGTTTCAAAGGACTTTATTTTTTGTTGTCTGAACATTCCTCTTGTTCTTGCTTCATTGGATTGTGTCTTAGCCCATGTGAGAATATTAATTATGGCTTTTATTGAAGATTTCTTATGTTTCCTGTGTTAGCATTTTTTTCTTAGGGTTGATTTCTGTGTGTGATTATTTGCTTGTTTTGTCTCTGCTTTCTTTTTCTTTTTCTTTTTTTTTTTTGAGACGGAGTCTCGCTGTGTCGCCCAGGGTGGAGTGCAGTGGCCGGATCTCAGCTCACTGCAAGCTCCGCCTCCCGGGTTTTTACGCCATTCTCCTGCCTCAGCCTCCCGAGTAGCCGGGACTACAGGCGCCCACCACCTCGCCCGGCTAGTTTTTTGTATTTTTTAGTAGAGACGGGGTGTCACCGTGTTAGCCAGGATGGTCTCGAACTCCTGACCTCGTGATCCGCCCGTCTCGGCCTCCCAAAGTGCTGGGATTACAGGCTTGAGCCACCGCGCCCGGCCTGTCTCTGCTTTCATGTTGGAGACTCTCTTTAAATGTCTAGGGATCCTTGACTCTCCCCTCATATTTAAGAAGGAGGCCTTAAAAAGAGGCCACAAAACTCTGTGTAGGCAGAGCTTATCCACTGGTGGGTCTCACTAGAGGGTGTTAGACAGGGATTTGGCCATATGATTGGAGATTTCTTGCACATATCAGAATCTGTAGGTCTTCCCTTTTGTGCTGGTCAATCTCTAGAGAGTTAACTTCCTGTTTTAAGCCAGGTTGGGGAGTAAGATCTAGATGTTTCAACTGCTCCTTTTTAAAGATTTCCAACAAACCTCTTACTTCGTTTAATTCATTACCTCCATCTCCAGAGGTCCTAGGTGCTTTTATTTCTGAGCCTTTCAAGAACCCCGTAGTACAAATTAGCTTGATTCTTGTTGGCTTCTCTCTATGCTCCCCTAGTTTTTGTGTGTGTGCGCGCGCGCGCGCACACACACACACACACACACACACACACACACACACACACACAGAGTTACTTGAAGGCCCAGACCTTTTTCTCTCCTGATAAGGCAGTTAACACCTGTTTAATTGCATTCCTCCTTGTGAACTTTTTGACATCCTTTGTCTGCTTTTGTATTCCTTCTTTTTCTCCTGTTCTTCTGAATCTTTTTTCTCTTTTAGTCCTTTACTGTTCTTTTAGTGAGGTCACAATAGGGAGTGGAGATAAATAAATGCATTTATTCAGATAAACTATGTTTATAACCTTTCTCAATCTACAACCTTATTTACCTTGGTATTGTAATTGGTTGTGAAACAGGCATCATTTTATGCTTTTGACTGGCCATTCCAAGCCATTCTGACAAGAAGAACTTGAGCAGAGACTGAAGAATGGCCTTTTAAAATTTTTACTTCAAATCACTGATAATTCTGCTTAATCTGGACTCTTGCCTTTACGTTTTTCTACTCCACATTTATAGAGTTTTAAAAGTTGTTTAGTCCCTGAGGAAATCCTGTTTGTGTCCACTAAGCATACTTAGATGCAGAAGTATAAAAGAATACCTAAGCTACTTACTATAAGTCATACAAACAAGATGGCTAAATATCAGTTAAAATATTTTATTTAAAACATTAAAACTTGGGGGTTCATACTTTTCCTTAAACAGTGATGCCTTGGCAATAGACTGAATAAGTTTGAGGATCTCACTGTAAAACCAAGCAACAATTATTTGTTGAAGTGCCTGAGTTGGTACCTAGAGGAACATGAAGAAAATGGGAAATATTGTTCTTTCTCTTCTCCTAGACACTTAGCCATGCCATGTGGAGTCCTAATTTGATCAAAAGCACAGGCTTGTCATTTGATACATAAGACTAAATACCCTTCCTGCCTAGTTGGTGAGACATAGTTATATATGAAAAATGCTAGCAGTACAACACAACACAACACAGCACAACTAAGTGTTTAATCATCTGTCAGAGCCAGCAAATACTATGAAATCAGAGCAGGAGGTCAAAGAGAATAGAAGCAGAAACCACAAATATTTATTGAGTTCCCATAAAGTCTGTGTTTTAGGTGGCCTGGGAATACATTATTGAATGAGAACTTTCTAGCTACTTGGCTTGGTCTTGAATAATGCACTGGATTTATACATGGGGAGAAAAAAAACCAAACACACATCCCATGCGTGGATCACAACACTGTGACAGAACTGAGACCTGTGTGTGATATGGTTTGACTCCGTGTCCTCACCCAAATCTTATCTTGAATTGTTTTCCCAATAATCCCCCCATGTCCAGGGTGGGACCTGGTGGGAGGTGATTGGATCATGGGGGCTGTTTCCCCCAGGCTGTTCTCATGATAGTGAGTTCTCACGAGATCTGATGGTTTTATAAGTGTTTGACAGTTCATCCTATACATGCATTCTCTCTCTTGCCTACCACCATGTAAGACATGCCTGCTTTGCCTTCCACCATGATTGTAAGTTTCCTGAGGCCTCCCCAGCCATGTGGAACAATTAAACCTCTTTCCTTTACAAATTACCCAGTCTCAGTGGTATTCTTTATAGTAATGGGAGAACAGACCAGTGTAGTATGACTTGGAAGGGTGAGAGCGATAGCCTGATTAGATTTGGGGCTCACGTTAAGAAAAAGCAGGGAATAAGTTTGGATTGTTGGGTGGGCAAAAGCCCACCAGGGTAAGAGAATTCTTAGTTTGCAGAAGAAAGAAAAACAGCACATTGTGTTACACAGATCTTTTGATATAAAGCATGACTTTAATGCATTATTATGATATTAAATGGAGAAACATTTACATAGCCCCTTCATAACTGTAATATGCCTTAGTTTTGTTTGCCAGTTTATTTCTTTGTTATTTACTCTACAAATATCCCTTGAACTTGAGGAAGAAAAGAGAAATGGGAATGGTTTGTGTTTTACTTAAATTATAAGATCAGAGATGGCAGATGATTTATCCAAAGCCCAGGCAAGTAGGAAAAGCTCCTTCCTCCCTTCCCCTTTTCCAGAATAGAAGAGAGTTGACTGGTTAACTTTGCAGGACTTAAGATGATCTTCATTTTAAAGAATCTGTATTAGCCTCCACTGTGGTAAGATGTGACTGGGATTTCAAGGTTTCCCCTGTCTCTACTGATTTACCTAAGTAGGACAGAGATTTCTGGGGCGCGCCTGCCGGTGGAGGGCAGTAGGTCACTCAACTAAGAGAGCGCAGTATTGTTGAGAAAATGACACCAAAGTGGTCATCTGGGATGCTACTTCGCTTTTGGTAAATAACTTTGCATCAACTTCTCAAGGTCTACCTCTCAGTGGAGAAGGATGCTAGAGAAAGATACCAGGCATCGCAGCCTAGTCGGCTGAACAAATGGAGTTATAGCCTTAGATTTTGTTTTCGTGATGACTAAGCTGACCAGGTTTCTTCTTTGTCCTTGCACACTTTATGCTTGACGAGATGCTTAAGCAAATAGAATAGGCGACCGCTAGGAGGTACCCAAGCTATGCGTCGGCCCCGAGGAGAGCAGAAATGGCTAACAGCGACTCCCTCAGCTCGGTGGGTCCAGGCGGGTGGCGCTTTTCCAAGGTCGGGGTTGCGATAAGCTTATCGCTTATCACAAGCAAGAAGAGCAAGAAGGACGTCTAAGAACCAATGATCCTTTAATCCGAAAGGCCGCGCGCCTCCAAGGCAATTTGACATCTTGAGGTCTGGCGTTTGGGCACCAGCTGCCTGCACATCTGGATGCAGCAGTGCCTTTCCTTGCAGGGAGGAGGCGAGGCGGAGGACCCCGGAGTGCACGCACCTCCTCGTGAGCGCGCTCGCTTGCGCCCGTGAACGTGTGTGTGTGTGTGTGTGTGTGTGTGTGTGTGTGTGTGTGTACGCGCGCGCGCACACGGGCCGCGGGTACGGGACCGGCTAATGGGGGTGGGGGCCCAGGAAGGAATAAATCTCCGCCAGCCTCCTCGCGCCTGGCTGCGGGTTAATATCCAACCAGTTAGAGAAAGACAAGGGTGACGGCAGCAGGGTGACAGCCCGGGCACACCGGCCGCGTGTCGAAGGGTCAGGATATTAGCCAGTCTCCGCCGCACTCAAGGACTGATATATTTCTACTGGCGGGGGCTGTTGTTTTTTATTGTCTGCCGTTATCTCCAGGGCACGAGTGAGGGGTGCGCGCTCTGGGCGAGTGTCGCGGCTCGGATCGGGTCGAAAGAGGCAATTTTGCGGGTGGGGGAGGGAGGGGGAGACCTTGATTTCCACCAATCCCCGGGCGTTTGTCTGCAAAGTCCAGGGCGCAGCGGAAGGCTGCGGCGCGCCGCTGAATTAACTGATGAGAGCGAGTTCTTTTCTTCTCCGGGAGGGGTGGAGAGCGAGGGTCCTGGCGGGCGAGGCGGAGGAGCCTGGGGCAGGATAGCGGTCCCGGGCCGCCGTGGAAATTTCCAAGGACTTGGCGCGGCGCAGAGAGCGCGTCTGGGGGGGTTGCCTGGCGGCGCAGTAGCGCGGGAGGCGGCGAAGGGCGCAGGAGCATCGCTTGGAAGGGGACAAGGGAACGCCACGGGCCAAATGTCTGGGAGAGAGCCGAGCCTTTTCCCGGACCCTCGCCGAGGGCGACCGTGATGCGGCAGAACCGGCCGGAGCGACTCGCCGCCACCGCTGTCTGGGCTCTCGGAGACCCCAGCGCCCGCCTTCTGCAGGGGAAGCGACCATGGCCATAGATCGTGACTTGCCCCCCAGCCACTTCCCCTAGAAAGAAATCCTTGGAAAAGTTGCATTTAAAAAAACCCTTGCGCTGACCTTTGGGGCCGACGGGGCAGAAGAAGCGTGCGTGCGTTTGCAAGCAAGAGAACGAAAGGTGTGTGTGCATGGGGGGCCGGCGGTGGGAGACCCTCCGCTGCCACTTCGCCTAGCTTTGTGCTGAGGCCCCGGCCCCCGCCCCTGGGACGCCGGGGCTGCGATGAGCCCCTGCGGGCGGGCCCGGCGACAAACGTCCAGAGGGGCCATGGCTGTACTGGCGTGGAAGTTCCCGCGGACCCGGCTGCCCATGGGAGCCAGTGCCCTCTGTGTCGTGGTCCTCTGTTGGCTCTACATCTTTCCAGTCTACCGGCTGCCCAACGAGAAGGAGATCGTGCAGGGTGTGCTGCAACAGGGCACGGCGTGGAGGAGGAACCAGACCGCGGCCAGAGCGTTCAGGTACTCCTGCCCTCGCGGCTCATCCCCTCTAGCGTCCTTTCCTCCCCTAGTGCAGAGGACAGGGTCACCGGCGAGGACCGCCTTGCACCGCCTCGCAGAGGCATCCCTTTCATCCGCTCTTCCGTGTCCTTTCCCTCCATTTGTGCCATTCCCAACCTGGAGACTTTAGTTAGGGTCCCTTCCCCACCCCTGACCCCCAGAGATGTGCAGACACTTGCTTTGCGCAGGTAAAGACTGGACGCATTTGTTCAGAAAGCGGAGTTTTATTTAACAATTTAAGGAAAAACAGAGGGAAGGAGAACCCAGGATAACTTAGTCTCTTGCACTTAATGAGAATCTATCTCTTGGGCTCTGCAGACATTTGAAGCTGTAGGGAACAAGAAGCAGGTAAAAGGCATCTCCCCGAGGTGAGGTGCACAGTTGGTAACATAAATCCCCAACGTCGGACTGATGGGCAGTGGACACATGGACGGATCCCGCAGCTTTGCGCAGTGTGCCCACAGCAAATGCATAGTACTGACTGACGTCCTACTAAGAGATGATACTGTGCAATATTTGTGTTGAAACGTCAAACAACTTTCTAGTATTATTATCTCATCTTGTTGACCACAAATTGATTCTTCAGAAGGATGAGTAACTTCCCCCAAGGTCATTACTTTTGACCTGTGGGTGCTGGATTTTTCATCACTTAAAGCTTCAAAGCTCCCAGCTCTTTTTATTGGCTTAGACTGTGGATGCCTCTGGAAGATGGGAGATGTACTTTAAGTAGGCACCTGAAGTCAGAAAACAAACGAAATCCCCAAGCCAGGTTGGAAATCAGAACTCTGAGGATCACTCAGAGGTTGTAGATCCGCTTCCTTTCCGGGAATTTTAGATTGAATGTCTAAAAATAAGTTACGGCAGCAGGGGTTGTGTAGTTAGATTGGAGGGAAGGCAGAGCTGCTTCCCCTTCCTCTCCACCTCCCCGGGCATGTTGAGGGAACATACGGGTGCTTCCACCACTGCGAGGTGCCCCTTTCACCTTTAGTCCCTGGGGCTGAAGATGCTGCCGTTGGCTTCTTCCTGTGATTGTAGTGGTCTGGGTGGTTGGAAATGCTCCCCTCTGCTCTGCAGAGGATCTTTCTAATCAGTGCAGGGGCAGGTGAGTTCTCATGTAAACATTTTTTCACTACAGTTATTTACAAATATTCAGGAGCATCTATACATTTTTAAAAACTTTTTAAACATATGGTTTCCTTCTCCTTCTGAGGCCTCCTCCTGGAAAGAGGGTTAAAAAGATAACAGAGCCAATTTGTTTAGAGGAAGGCAACTGCATTCTCCTTGGAAGGCAGGATTTTCCTTCTGTTTTTTTAGAACTCTACCATCATTGAATTTAAAAATAACTCCACTCTTTCTAAAAGTATATAAGGGTTAATTTTTTCTTTCCTTCACAGTATTGATTGTGGGACTCAAAAGCAGGCACAGGCATCACATCCAGCAATTATTTTCCCTAAAGACAGAAAGCACTTTCATTTCAAGTGATCTAAGGAAATGAGTTAAGAACTTCCCATTGGTTTGCAGTGAAAGAGTCTATTTTTTTAATATAGGAGGAGGAATAATGAAGCCCTGTTAGAGGATAGATTTCTTGTTAGAGGACACAATCAAGTGGAAAATGCTTCATATTCTGAGAAACACAGGCTGATAGTTTCTGAGACACATTTGTTCCTTGCTTTCTGTAGCCTGGAGTAATCTTCAGTGTGTTTGGATGTTATTTGGTCTGGTCTTTATGTGCAGGGAATTACTTATTAAAATCCATACACTATAAAAACGACCTAAACACATATCCCTCAAAGTTAGTGGCTGTAAAACCATGTAAAAGGCACCATTGCTTATTGAAATAAGTTTGAGCTTCAGAGTAGAATTCTGAATTTGTACACTGAGTATGCTGTGACTAGATAAACAGCAGAGAATCTTTGGCAAGTTACTATATTTTTCGAGTCCTGGCTTTCTTGTTTATCTATATTGCAGAGTTGTTAGAAGGCTTAAATTTTTAATAAAAACTGATGCCAAGGATCTGGTACATTGTGTACCCAGAAAATGGTTGCTTTATAATTGTTATAAATTATAATTTCTAGTATATGTTACAACATAAATAAGGAAATCTGGTCAGCCCATGAGAATTTGGAATGTTTCTCCTGCCAGATTTACAGGTAAACATTATTAGTCCTTACCCCTCTCCCCAACCACATACACTTATGCTAATGAACAGGGACAAGACATTTTGAAAGGTAGGAGAAGTTTCATAGCTTGAGTTAATTATTTTTTTACATGTGCATTTAATGTTCTTTCACATTTGGATTGTTAGTATATGGCAGTAGTGTTTATTTGTTAAATATTAGACCGGTCAGTCAGAAGCCATGATCATGTTAAGGAGACACAACTTTGACAAACAAGCATCTGTTTTTCTCTAGTCTGAAACATCTTCTGCATAAATACGAATATATGCACACAAATGCACAAGGTGCACTTATATGTAGAGTTTTATGTGAATTTATTCACAAATCATGGAATGGTGTCATATATGTGTAAAAATATATATGTATATATATATGTAAATACAAACATTTGCAATCAGTCAATTGACCAATATTTCATGAGTGACTACTCTGCATCAGATACGTGTTAGGCCTTAGGGGATTGCAGTGAATAGAATGGATAGATTGCCTCCTCTAACAACTTGCCTCCTAGTAGAGGATGATTGACACACAATTAAATAAATACGATGACAACATACGGTTAAATTGTATGAAGAGAAAAGAGAGTGTTTCCCTATGTTTATAAACACCAAAATTTAGGATTTTATTTTGCCCTCTGTGCTTCCATTTACTTTCGTAATTTTCTTCTTCTTCTAGCTCAGTACTTGATATGTACTGAATTCTCGGAGGAGAACCTTGTCAAATTGCATAGGAGATGGCAGGAAGAAAGTAAGAAAGCTGTAAGAGTTTTGAACAGAACAGGAAGTTTTCCTAATGTTTATGTGGTGATAGAAAGATAAAGGAATCAATAGAACTTATTATAGAAACTTTCTTAATTCTTGTTGCTTTTGATTAAGTGATATTGTGGGAAGTGCCAAACCAAAGTAGTGTTTGTTTCTTCCTTCAGATCCTCACCCATTTCATTTGCTCCTCAGAAATGAACCTGAACTCAGAATTTATGTGCACGGCTTTATTCTTGGCACCTGACATGGTAACAATAATAGTAACAATTAAACTAGCAAGTTAGTAGGTGCTTATTATCTGCCTGACACTATGCTAGTATGTATTGTCTCATTTAATCCTCATAAGAATCTTGTATAAATGGATATATCATTATCCACTTTTATGAAAATGAACATGCCCTGGTCTTCAAGGGAGTTGCTATAATCCCATGGAAGAGACAGATAATGTATATAATTAACTAACTGGAAACAGGGCCATCAAAGAGAGGAAACATAGCAGAGTGAAAACGTTATGGATTTGGGAGCTGTCAGAACATGGTTGGAATTCTGGCTGTATCCCTTTCCAGTTGTGCAATCATTGGTAAGTCCAACACTCAGAGCTTTAGTTCCTCGATTTGTAAATTGGGGCTTGTAAGAATGTCTTACAAGTTTCCGGTGAAAACTACATGATAGCATACAGACAGCACCTGGAATGATGCTTGCCACCTATCTCTGTTTAATACGTGATTGTTGTAACAACAGAAACACCAGTGAATGCTGGGGACGTTCCCACAACATGACATTTAATTCTACTGAAGGGAGGGAAATCGGGTTTCAGAGAGGAGGTGGTGCTTGGAGTAAGCCTCCAAGGATGGTAGGGTGGCATCGTGGTAAGAGGTGAGGATAGAAGTATATGCCAGGCAGAGAGAACAGCAAAGATCAAGGCGGAGAGATTTAGAAGTGCCTGGTGTGTTTACTGTATGGAAAGTTATTAAGTCACCCATGGAGACCACCATAGAAAAGTAGGCTGGATGGTAAGACGAAGCCAGGAATTTTTGAATGTATTTAAGGTGTGGCTCATTAGAAATGGACAAACATCAAGGATCTAATGGTACTGGCTGCATGTTAGCTATCAGCAGAGATGGCACATCACTGTTACCAGTGGGTTTGGGGAATAGAATAGAGGTTAATACAGTGAAGTGGTTGTTTTGAAAATTCTATCGACTCATTGGGTGGTAACCATTACTCTAAGCAGTCAAGTTCTTTCTTTTTCAAAATTCTGAACAAACGACTACTTTCAGCAGTTCCACCTTTATGTGGCCTCTTTTATTTCCCTATTTTTGAATAGGGATGTTAAAAGCTCTGAAATTTCCATAATTGTCCTGGTGGCAGGAGAAGGGCATTGGGAGTGGAGGGGATGAACGTAGGTGCAGCCATCTGTACGGATAAAATGTAAGTTTGGTGTTTGAAAGTTGGAGATTTATGGAATTCACTTTGAAAAGGTAGTTTAGGAAAAAGAGGGTTTAATAAGTTTTGGTGCTCAAGAAAATAGGCTACAGTTATGTTGCAAATTTACAAATGTGGAAAAAAATCTCATCAGCAATCATCGCAATAGCAAAAATCAATCACTAACATTTATTGGATACATAAGATATACCAGGCCCAGGTCTTAGCACTTATATATGTGTTTTCCCCCAAAGCAACCTTATAAAGTAGGTTTGTGTATCTTCCTGGTTTTACAGATGAGGATATGGAGGTTTAGAGAGATCCATGAACAAAATGATGGAGTTTGATTTCCAACCTGGAGCTATTTAATTCTAAACCTCATGCTTGTTCCCTGCTAATTTTGGATAAATGAAGCAATGCTGTATACATTTCTCTCATGATTTGGCTCTGATTACTTCTCCAATGTCATCTTTCATCAGTTTTTCTTTTTATTCTTTGCTAATATTGGAATAATTACGGTTCCTGAAATAGGCCAGGCTATATTGGGTTTGCTCGAGCCATCTCCTCCACCTGGAATGACTTGACTTTAGGCCACATC